TGAGTGAAAAAAACTAAAACATAAACACATGTGTCATTAATATTAATAAGCTCCAAAGTCCGATGAGGATGTTTGGACAGTGGGGACATATTGAATCTCGTCGTGGAATTAAACAGGAGGCCTGATGCAAGGCAATACTGCTGATGCTGCTGATGCTGCTGCTGCTGCTGTTGTACAGACAAACTGTATATTTCCTGAATCAACCAATCAAAATAAAATTAATAATAGTTTTACTTGTCTTGCATGTAAAATCCTGAGCCCTGTAACGGTGTTGGCAGAAATCCAAACAAGGTTCACTTCAGGTTAACTGCTTGAAGTCGTCTGTCATCAGTGTCTTTCAACCCAGAGTTAACCCAGGTTCAAACCACTACCCTGCGTGTGCGTCCATTTAAAAGCTGACGTAAACAATGAACGACCAATCACAATCAGGGATAAAACATGCTGCTCGTAGGAACAGTGGATTCACCTGTGTACAGAGGTCAAGGGTCACTGAGGTTAAATAAAACAATTTTGAGAATGATTAGTACCAACGGTATAAAAATAGCAATTGTTATCATGAAAATGTATCATAATATGATCCTGTAATAGTCGTTGCTATATTGTGAAAGAACATTAATGACACTCATAACAGAGTTACAAAGCACATACAGGCATAAACAAAAGAATAATCGTACCAGGAATGTTGCTCGGGAGGGAGATGTTTACGATGGCCTGTTTGTGCAGAGACCCCAGAGCCCAAGAGAACAAGCGCCGTGGTTCTAGCTGATTTATACCAGGATGCCATCGCATCCAAAGACACCCTCGATTGGTCAGTTAAGAGGGGGGTCAGCCAAGAGTTGTCCTGCAGAGTTGGTCATTCAGGAGACAATGTGTCTGTTCATTGACATGCACTGTCCATTCAAATAAATAAATAAATTAAATTCAGTTGGATCCATCTCCAACTTCATTGCTGATTTTGTTTACACACAGTGGCCCTCATTTATGAAACTTGTGCAGAAAAGGGTGTATCTTTTTGGTGTAGATTCCATAAACTGTATGCAAGACCCAACGCAGGTTTATGAACGTGTGAGATATGCCCAGATCTGGGCCTATGCATACCTGGCTCTTAGTAAATGCCGCGGTGAAAACTAGGGTATTAATGAAAGTCAGGCCTTTGAATATTCAGAAACCGCCTGTTTCACGCCCTGGTTTTACGACAGGTCAGCATGGAACTCAGCCAGGAAGACTGTTTGGAAGCCTCAAAAGGCTTGTTTAAAAAAAATATACGCTATATTATTTACACACGTTTTTTCCCTAGTGTCCAGACCCACTGCAGCACTCATCTCTCTTGAACTTTTGAAGTGAATGAATGAATGAATGAATGAATATTAAAATCTCCGCCTCAGCGGTGGCTCTCATCATTAACCACTTGAAGCGTCTGAGCAATCTCTGTGAGAGAGAAAGTCTACGTATGAGAAGCTTTTGGGAAGTGTCTGTGATTTCACAGAGGAACTCTGGATCCAAAACGTCTGAATGAGGCGCCCCACATTTGAGGAGTATGCGGTGGGACTTCTTGTGGCACCCGCTGCGCACTTCCCAAGAGAACTCTGCCCGTGAGACCGTTCTTACGGATAGGATGCAACGCGCTTATCTATAAACTGCTACATGCGGAGGACTGCAGTGGCTGAGACCGTTCTGAGACCATTGTTTATGGGGCGAATGAGGCGAATGAGCAAAACAAATAGCTATGCGTAATTATGCAGCGCAGGGTCTGCCACAGATTTACAGAGAAATGGATGCTCACACATTAAGTAAGAAAGACAAGTGTATTTGTATAGCACCTTCACAGTCCAGGATCACAAAGCTCTTAACATTTAAAAAAAACATACAAATGAAAATGATACACATACAAGTCAGATTTAAAAACGAAGAAACAGAAGAGGGTCCTCATCATGAACTGTGACATATTAGAAGTTTGCGTGTTTCCATTAGACTTTTTCTGATGTGCAAATTCAAGTTTCGAAATGTGATGCTCGATGAAAACGCAGCTTATAATGTTGCCAGAGTGGGAATATTGTTGTCCAAATCTTGCATTTCATGCGTGTTTTGGCGTGTTGTGATGAAGGTTGAGATGGGTTTAAAATTTACACCACGGCCAGACTCTGTGTATATTTTGTGCGTACCATACTCCCACGTCCAGATTGATAAATGCCGAAAAATGTAAATTTTTTGCGTACGCCTCATTTACACCCTGATTTGGCCGTACGCAAGTTTCATAAATGAGGGCCAGTGTGACTGAATGGAAAATAGCACTTACAGAGGTACATTACTTCTACTTAGGGATGCGCGGTAGTGACATTTTGGGCCGATACCGATGTTTGACATAACAACTTGGCCTATGTTTTTATTTCTGTTATTTATATTTATATATTCAGGGATGAGAATTTTACTTTATTGGCGGAATTCCGACTGAAAATGGACCTCAGGGATTTTTTGTTCAAAAGTACAGCATTACAAGTATATGTCAAATTTTCACCAAAAGCGATTTGTAAAAAGGCGGGCACGATGGCGGCCAGACACACGGAAAAGGAGAAGGGGATCATAATTCTCTATATGGTGTGTGTATATCTATGTAAATCCATATCTAATACAATTTCTATATTGTATACATAATTTCTATATATTATACATTATATCCATATAAGCATATATGCTTGTGGCTGGGTATATATTCAGATTCAGTCCAACACACAAATATCATGTGAAGAAATTGTTAATCATTATAATTAAAAATTGCAGCGATTAATTTTGTATGCCTGAATCATAATTAGCATAGGCATCACAGAGGGACTCCCCAAATGTTCTACTGTGTCTGTGCCATTTCTGATTCTGAGGATGTATCCACGCTTCCGTGAACCACAGTTTACTTTAAACTGCTTGTGGCTTGGTGTATATGTTGGACCATTTTCTACCTATAGATTAAAACTTAGAGAATGCTTTATATGACCCACATTCATACTATAGTATGCTCCATCTGCTGGAATTTTCCCGGATACTGGTTTGTTGTAGGCTGTGGGGCTTTGAGTATTTGTTGGGGGTGTGGGGATGGTCTTTTTATGTTGTTAATTGACCAATTCGAGAATTACATTTCAAATAGTAGAAGAAGATATATATATCCTATTGAGCAAAGAGATGTAATATATCTGTTGGTATGGATTTTCCCCATTATCTGATGTCCATGCCCTCCATCCATGGGGGTTGGATTGCTCCTGGCTGACCCCCCTGAACCAATCCAGTGGAACCTGAGCGTGACCTCACAGCCAGTCTATAGAGAGCTGGGATGGACTAGTTTGGGCTTTTGGTCGGTGTGTCAACTCTCTATGCAACATGGAGCTGGCAGACCTCATGCTGAGGCCCAGAGCATTCCAGGGTCCTCTCTCGTTCAGCCATCGCTCCTTGGAGAATGATATTATCTGTTATGTCTGTAACTATCTTATTAATTATTCAGTGTCATTAAATGTCCTCTTTTATGTCTTTTGGTTTGGGCCTAGTATGTACCACAACGGTTACATTTTAATGATAACAATATCCAAGTTTGTCAAGCTCCTAAACCATTGGTGGGCAAACCCCGGTCCGTGGGCCAGATGCCTTTGGATGCTTCTATCAGGCCCCTGAGGCCTACTCAATTTATAAAGATTAAGATTAAGATCAAGAGAGATTAGGATTAAGAACATTTATTCATCCCACAGTGGGGTAATTTCAGTTTAAACATCATACCCTCTGTGCTGTGTGCAGAGCTATTTTTTTCATATAAACAATACCTTTATGTTTTAAAATGAAGCCTGAAAAAAACATTGGAATATCAGACGCCTGTCGGGATCCGGACCTAATTTCCAATGTGGCCCTCAGGAGGAAAAGTTTGCCCATGTCTGTCCTAAACCTTGGCGTTACCATGGAGATGATCATGTGAAGAAATTGTTAATTATTATAATATAAAATTGCAGCGATTTATTTGTATGCCTGAATCATAATTAGCATAAGCATCACAGAGGGATGAGACGCTTCAGTGAACCAGAGTTCACTTTAAGTGAACCACTTAGGGCCAACACATCTGCGGAGATGTGAAACCACTAAAAATGACTTAGACAAAGAGTGTTCAGGCAATATCCACAAAAGAGGCGTCTCAACCTTTTGCTAGAGTTCTGAAAATCAGGCCACATTTGAGTGTTCACCTTAATCTAGTCATCTGTGTGCAATGAGAAACGCACAATTTTACATTTTCAACAGTCTCGATCAAAGCTAGATGTTTGTGGCCCTCTATGAATGGCAGTCAATACCCAATGAAGGTTTTTAATTTGATATGTGCTATATTACCATATTATACCACATTTTCCACTAAAGGCAGCAGAATAATAGTCATCCTGAATGAGGATGTACAGCATAGTCCTCATTGTAGTAATCGGAGTCTCCAAGCGTGAGGTGGTGTGCCGTTCTCACACATATGAACAAATTAATTTCCCTTATGCCTCATTGGTTCAATTGAATGACTCAGTTTGATGAAACCTTTGAGCAGATGCTAAGTCTGTGGCTAAGACTTGTAGCTCTGCTCTTATGATGGGGATCATAAACTGTCTTGATCACTTTCGTATTTTCTTCTTTTGTCCCATGAACTGCTTGATGTGCTGCTGGCACAATGTGAATAAAGGAATATAATGATTGTGTGCAAACTGCAAGATGTTGCTGCTGAACGAGTATGAGCTTCCAGTCTTCTTCACTGGACGTCATATGTTGTTGTATGTTATAACTTGTGTTGGTAGATAATAAAGAAAAATGTATTATTTATTTATTTATTTAGCTTATTTGAGGAGGAAAGTGATGCTAATTAATACATATTTCTGTAAATGTACCATTTAGGCAAAAGATTCTTGTATGTCATCTGTTGGCCCTGGAGAGATATTGCGCTTGTCTTCGTAATAGTGTATCAAGGTAAAATAGTCCAAAGCCCGGGGTCTTACTCATACCTATCCGGTCCAGGCGGTCGATGGCCACGGTCTCGAAGGCCCTCCTCATCATGGGGTACTCCTCCAGAACCTCATTGAAGTTGTCCACTGACAGAGAGTAGAGGCGGCAGTACGTGTCGGCGCGCACACTGGCCGTACGGCGTCCACGTGTCAGCAAGCAGATCTCTGGGCACAAATATGAGACAATAGTGAGCTAACACTGAGCTAGCACTGCAGCTAACACTGTCTGTAGCTAACACTACAGCTAGCATCTAATGTTTGCAAGGGATGTGTTTCTGCTGCTGAAATTTCTATGATGATTTCAATTAATAATCTATCACATGAACACAAGTTGGAACGGCCACATCTCACACAGACCTGAGTTCCGAGGACTTTATGAATATTGCATTATTATGTCTATGTCAATTGACGTTTTCAGCTTCTCTTCCAAGCTGACAGAAGCCATCTATATTTGGACTGACTTTGTGAGATTTAGATGTTGTTCTTGCTTTATGGACCAGATTTTATGTTGCCGTGACAACCACAAGCCTTGCTCCTGAAGCCCGGTGACCTGCTGAGACTTTGGGTTCAGCCAGAAGAGAATATTACATGATGAGATGTATGTGGATGTGGCAGGTTGTGGTGAAAGAGCTCTGGAACGTCGCTTTTACAGTCCTTTTACTTTTAGTATGTTACTTGTTACATTCCAACCACTTATTTGGTGATAAGCTTGAGATCCACTGCTCTTTATGCATACAAACTACAGTAAACTTAACCCAGCCATTTGCATTTCATCCATGTCTTTGCATTCATATTGTGCTATGCAAAATATAAATCATTGGCCTCAGATGGGAAAAAAAAATGTAATTCATGCATATTATTAAACTAAATTACTATTTCACCTATTTACTCACAGAGCATTCTGTATATGTGCCCCAGATGTTGGTCCTTAAAGCGCCACTGGGGAGATTGCTGGTTATGTACGGCCCAGTGATTTACATATTGTCTCACGTATCATTATCATGCAATATGGGGAACACTTGGAACTGATATTAAGACTAAATATAGCCACAAGCGGTGATGAGCGGCCCTTTCCAAACCGCAAAACAGGCACTATGGTTGTGTGGCACTATCCTTAAACTCTGCACAGACCTAAACCCACGCAAGTTCCAACTTTTCTTTTTTTAAACCACTGGACTACACAGCAACACACTCTTCATTCATTCATAGACCCACCTTGTGGGCTACACCCCCCTCTCCACCTGGGAGCTGCGTGGCCTTGGTTCTCTTGCTAGTCCTGGATCTATAGCCGTTGGTCCATGGGAGCAGATCCCTCTCTCAATGAGGACCTCCCCAAGGTTTCTCACTTTAACCACTGGGTTTAGAGTTTTTCCTTTCCGAGTCTGTTAGTCTTGTGAGGTCTAACTAAAAGGACAGTGGTGCTGACCCAGGACACTCAACATTCAACACTATTTATGGACATTTATGTCCAACAAGTCACAACATTCACTTGTCTTGAGTTTACTTTGATGGGGATAAAGCCCTGGTTTGGAACACTGTCAAACAGTCATCTGAAGATCTTTAGTTCAAATCCCCCTCAGACACTGAAGCGTGGTGAAATCCGGCACTAATGTGAACTCGCTTTTCTCACCCAGATTCAGAGGTTTGCATCTACTATTTAATTTCTTATTCTGAAGTTCATATAGTGAAACAAAGAGTTGTTTGTTGGTGGCTTGTGTAAAAGAGACAAGTCGAAGGTCTGTGGTTCAAATCCATGTTGAGGCTCCAGATCATCTCCATGATGGTCGATCTAACAGTTTTAAATGAGAAAAGGTTGTAGTTTAAATAGATGTTATGTTGGTCAGAGACATGTTGGTCATGCCTTCAGAACTAACAGGTCATTTTTCAAAAAATTTGCCTCTTCTGAATCCGAATAATCTACTTATTCTGTTTATTGTAGAGATCACATTTGTTGACGATGGATTATAATTTCCTAAAAACAAAAATGTATTAAAGACCTTATGCAGGGTTTGTCAAAAAAGTCGTGGATATCAAAATGGCAAGACAAATAATCAATTAATGTCAATTCCGGCAAAAATGATTCTGTATTTTATTGAACATTTTGGTTTTCAATACATTTGCGTTGTCTTGGCCTTTCGCGAGCCAAAGGGGGTTCCTGGTGCCGCCCCCACACTATGTTTACAACCTCAAAAATGCAGTTTTCACACATCTCCGACGATGTTTTCCCGTTAATCTAATCAACTGTTTTCATGCGAGTTAATGTACAATACACTGTAAAAAACAGGGATTTCATTATAATATTGTACAATATTATAGAATGAAACCAAAGATCTCAACTCAAATCTTTGTAAAATATAAATGTTTTCCATCCATTCATCCATCCATCCATTTTCTACCCTTTAATCCATTTCTGGGTCAGGGGGGGTGGCTCTCTGACTGTGAGCATAGCCTTGATCTTTCAGTGGGGGCTTTGGGCAAAGTGGGGTTAAGTGTCTTGCCCAAGGACACAACGACAGCAGTCATCAGTGGGAGTCGGTGGAGAAGGTGCAGAGGTGGGAATTGAACCCACGACCTTCTGGCCTTAAGGCCAATGCTCTATAAATGTTTTCCCATAAATAAATGTGATAACCTTTAGAAAGGACTCATTTGAAAGTTTTAATAGTGATTCAGTGTCACCGTCCCTGTCAAGTGATAGAGCAGCTGTCCTGTTATTATAATAGATCCCTGTAGCGTTTCCGTAACATAGTTATGAACAAAGTTATGAACGAAACAGAGTTTCGTGTATAAGTCCATCTTAGTGCCATCCTTTTCTTCTCCTTTGGCCACCCATAAAGCCTATTGTGCGTGTTATATATAATAATAATGCATCGGTTTTACACAGCGCTTTTCTGGACACTCAAAGACATGTCATTATTCTTTCACTCCTAACACGGTGGTGATAAACTACTACAGTAGCCACAGCTGCCCTGGGGCACACTGACAGAAGCGAGGCAACCAGTCTGTGCCATCGGCCCCTCCGACCATCACCAACCATTCACACACACACCAGACTCATTCTAGGCAATGGGGGTGAAGCCTAAAGACACAACGGTTTGGCACTTTACAGCCGCCCCACTGTGGCATCAGGTGTTCCCAGAGGTTAAGTGTTTTGCCAAGGACACAACAACAGCAGACATCAGATGGTGAAAGTCTTGTGGTGGGCTCAAACCCACGACCTTCTGGCTCAAAGCCCAATGCTATACCAAATGAGCTACCGTATGTGAGCAGTGCACTGCAACACATCTTCTTGTCACCTTCAATATCCATCAATTTATTGCAAAAGACTTCCAAAAATGTAAACATGCTTGTTCAGTATGGAGAGCATCAAGTTCAGGTGGACACGGACACGGGTACCCAGCGTGACGTTACCAAGGGAGAAGTGTTTGTTATTTCTCATTTCTAAGGACGTTGCTATGGTGGTTTCTCGATTTGCAGTGACTGGACACAAAAAAAACAATTGATTTTGAAACCTTTGGTAGTTCTTTTCCAATATAAAATGGTTTAAAAATTGTATTCCTAATAGATACAAACCCTGCATAAGGTCTTTAACAATAAGGGCCTCAGTTGCATTGTGTAAAACTGTTCAATGATCTAGTCCACGTCCAGTTGTGTTCTCGGTGGAGTTAACCCTGGCACGTCGCCCCTGGTGGCTCTCCGCAGGCCGTGTTGAAGATTACAAATGGCCTGTCAACGGTGTGCGTGAGTGCTAATTAGCTGCTATTAATTGGCAATATGGACCTCTGCACTACGCCGCAGGGTTAACAGGGCATCCTCCAGCAGCTCTGATCTCAGGGCAACTCCTGGGAACAGCTGGACAAGAAGAAGGAATATGCCACATATAATGGTACTGTACTTTAATTTTAATTTTACTGGTTTAGAATTCCAGTTTTGTGAGGAAAAGCTCAGCAGGGATGAGCATTCCTGCTATACTTCTCTGTTTCAACATATGCAGTGACTTGATTTCAATGCAATGAGGGAGACATGCAGGAAAGATGAAATGAACGTCAGAGGAAAGTGAACGCCTTTAGAGTATGGGATAAACGTGGAAAAGGGTAGTTAATTCAACATGCACGTCTGAAGGCATCCATGTCTTTAGTGAGACCACAGTGGAGGTCCAATCACATTTGGGGATCCGCAGAGATCACAGGCACACCATGTGAAGTGCGGATGGTCAGACCTGTGTCCAGCATCATGTCATAGACTTTGGTGTTAGTGCGCTCCAGCACAGCCAAACTAATGGTTACAGCTCCTTACATTGTTTTACAGATTCATAATTATCAGATATGATACATTATATTATCATAAAACGCTCAAACGTCATACCCTCAAACTTTTCCCCTGGTGACCACACACACATATAGTCTGACTCTGAATCTGCTCTGGTGGTTTTTGCACATTCATATAGTACTTTATAAATCCCAACTTTGACAAACAGAGACATTTGATGTGCACTGTTTTTGTGCATACAGACGCGTGAAGCTGTCGGTGTATAAAGAGAGAACAATGCCCATGGTCCATCCATCCATTTTCTTCCCCTTAATCCATTTCTGGGTTGGGGGGATGCAGTCAGAGCTGCACCCAGTACACTTAGCACCAGCCCCTCACTGATCCTCCTGCAGGTGGTGAGTCCACAGGAGTTGAGATCTTTCAGTGGGAGCTTCAGGCAAAGCAGGGTTAAGTGTCTTGCCCAAGGACACAACGACAGTAGTCATCAGTGGGAGTCGTGAAGTAGGTCTTATGGTGGGCTTGAACCCACGACCTTCAGGCCCAAAGGCCAATGCTCTACCAACTGAGCTAATGCCCATGGTATGTCTTCTAAATGAGCTGAAAAAGGTTGACCCACCTCCGAAGTAGGAGCCGTCCAGGAGCTTCATGCCTGTGTTGCCTTTGGTCAACACGCTGACCACACCGTGCTGGATGAAGAACATCTTCTTGCCGATAGTGCCCTCTCGGATGATGTAGTCCGCGGGCTGGAACACCTCAAACCTCAGCTTGGTCAACATGGCCGTCACAAAGTTTGGGTCGGCGTTTGCGAACAGAGGCATTGAGGCCACCAGCTTACGGCAATTAAAATTCACTATTTCCTGAAGATGGACAAGAGACAGAAGGGCACTGAAAGGAAGTCTGTTGGGTCCTAATATGATCATATGAAATGTCAACAAACTACAAAAGCATAAAGGTTAAGTGCACCTGCATCATGTTTACAGAATGTATTAGTGCATGATAATAAAAAGTCATAACGTCTAATCTCCTAACAAACTAAATGTATTCATTACAAACGGTTACAAAACACATCTCTCACATCCAGATGGAGAAAGAAAAGTTAAAGTGCACATGACACATTTTATAGAATGCTTTTACCAATTCCACTATCTCAGAGTCAGAATCAGAATCATTTTTATTGCCATGTAAGGTACTGGAAGTCACAGAATAGGAAATTGCTTTGGCTCTTGGTGCAAACAGTCAAAAGTAGAGAGGTAGAGTATAGAGTAAGGTATAAAAAAGAGAACGATGTGGACAATTGAAAAGTATTTATTCTATATTTGACATTTTATACCAGTTTAGTATTTTTGCTTTGTCTGTGAACATGACAACATCACATAGGGGTTTTGTCTCGTACACTTGGCCCAAAAGTCTAAACCCAGAAATCCTTGTCTGACCAATACAAATGAGCAAAACCTATGTCAAATTTAAAAAAAAAACACGTCTGTCTCCTTATTTTAGTTATAGAACTTGATGCTTTTCTCTTTTCCTTCCTAGATTAAAAAATCCCAGAAACGTCCCCATGCACTTTGCTCTGTCGTGTGATTAATCCGTGGTCCTTACCTCTCGGAGCGGCTCATTCAGCTCCTCCAGGATGCTCTCCTCATCAAACATCTTGCCTTGGTACCGGTGCTCGTAGTAGTCATGGATTTTCTGTCGGAAATCAGCAGGCAGCTTGTGGAACGACATGTACTGCTCCACTTGTTTGTACTGAAAGAAAAGAGGGGACAGCTTTGTGAAAACCCGGGAAGTGGCCACAAATGGAATCAGCTCTTTTAATCGTGGGATAACATAAAAAGCCATTGGGTAAAGTCCAACAAACGCTCATTTCACACTACACCGCTTCAGCTGTGTCAGATAAAAAACAGTAATAAGACAATTCCAGATTTGAGTGATGCACAATGCTATGAGGATGTGGGGCAATGTCGGTTTTCTGATTCACTTATGAACCTGTGTTTCTTCTGTAAAACTGAAAACAGGAGAAGCAGATTTATAATTACCCTTCTCATTGAAAATGGAATGCTCTATCCCTAATGATAAAACGGTGATAATAAAACAGTTAAATACATGTACAGGTGAAACTCAGTAAATTAGAATATTGCTGAAATCAGTTCATTTATTTCTGTAATCAAATTTAAAATTCGAAACCAATGATATAGACATTTTACATGGGACGAGATGTAGAGTATGTCAAGCTTTTGTTTGGTATAATTTTGATGATAATGACTCACAGTCCAAGTATCCTAATTTTCTTACATGATTTTATTTAGGGTATACTGTAGTTCTTGTACAAACAGTGATAAGCAAATGGTCCTGATATTATGTTCAGAGACCCAGAGTTCCAGTTGAACAAACATAACATTAATCAGTTTTTCTAAAAGTCCTAAATAATTACATTGATTAAAATCTTTTGTCCTCGTACAGACGGCAAAGACCAACTTATATTTTCAGGGACATCAAGACCTTCTCTTACATTCAGCTGATTCAAGAGTCAACTCAACCCTCACTTATTTGGCCTTAATTTCCCTTTGATTGCTTCGCTATGTCTGTATTTGCACAATGTCTTGTCACAAATTGGTCCATTTTCCTCGTTTCATTCTTTCCAGTAAAGCATGGAAGTTCTTGAGATGTATTCTTTGCATTCCATTTGAAAACATGCCTTCTTGCTGAGAGATGGATGATGGATGCACTGTAGGTGAAGCTCCTTCCACCCACACACCTTTAATCATGCAGAAATCACCGCGCTGTGCCCATTGTCATAACAAACATCACAGAGTAAGCGCTGTACAAGCACAAAAGGTCAATTCAAATCCAAGCTATTCGCAAAAGCAGTTTATCGACTGTACGTCAACCAGGGGCCTGCTTCTTGTCTCATTACAATGGCACACAACACATTACATGCCTGGGTTCACAATGGAAATAGAACCGATCCCACAACAAAGCGAGATTGGATATGGGTATGGGCTTCACACAATTCCCCAAATCATATACAGAGACAAGGCTTTTTGCTGTTACGTGCGGGGCTCAAAAATGGTGTGTTTTATGCTGCTTCACGCACTAAGGCGCTTCTTTAAACTAGACTGTCCGCACATCGGCCCCAGGAGGAACATGTGGCTTTCCCATGTGTTTGGATCCATTTTCACAGGTATCATTTCTCTGAATGGTGCAAATAAGCGGACAAAGTAATGGCCATAATAGCTATTTTCTATTTTAACCTTATTTTTATACATATTTATCCTGTCCCAGATATGACTAAAATGTATTTGATTGTTCCCGGTATAGTGGATACATACAGTATACTTTCCTTCTTTCTGTTGTATGAGCAAGTCAACAGGATTATGAAATGCCTGTATTTGTCAGGGTTGTAATTGTTAGATCCTATTTTATTCTGTAAACCCAGCTATTCTCACAATCGTCCCTGTCCCAGCTGAAGAAAAGCAGCCAAATAGCATGATGCTCCCCTCACCATTTTGATGCCGGGGATGGTGCACTCCGGACGATGAGTAGTGTTTGGTTTGCATCATACAAAATATTTTGCGTTGAGGCAAAAAAGTAAATTTTTTGTCTCATCTGACCAAAGCACCTTCTTCCACATGGTATCTGTGTCTCCCATGACTTCTGTCTAACTTCAATTGGGATTTCTAATGGTTTCCTCTCAATAATGGCTTTCTTCTTGCCACTGACCCAAAAAGGCCAGATTTGTGAAGAGTACGACTGATCGTTGTCCCATGTAGATTCCCCCAGCTCAGAGGCAGTACTTCGCAGCTCTTCCAGAGTCAACTTGAGGCACTTGGTTGTCTTTCTGACCAGTTCTCTTTCCATTTCCAAATAATGGTTTGAACATTGCCCTGTAAAATGTTAAAATCTTGGTATACCTCTCTGGTGTGCTCCTGGACTCTATGAGGCTGTTTAGTGACCAATACACTCGGACCATAGCTCTGAGGCCCTCACAGAACGGCTGCATTTATACTAAGAGTAGATTACACAGGAGGCCTCTATTTAATCATTAGGGTCGAGGTGTGAACATTCAGCAGTCATTCGGAATGTTTTAAAGTATATTTAACACACTCTGAAAAAAGCAAGTAGTTTATTTATATACCGCCTTTCACAGACCAGAGTCACAAAGCGGTTCACAATTGTTATTTTCGGGCACTTGTCCTCTCACTCCACACAGAGATGGGAGCGGGGTCGCCGAACAAGAGGTGCATGCCAGACCTATTATACATGTTTTTAGTGGTAGGGGAAACCGGAGTACCCGGAGGAAACCTTCGCAGACACGGGGAGAATATGCAAAGAAAGGCCCTGGTCCGACCAGGATTCAAACCCAGGCCCTTCTTGCTGAGAGGCAAGAGTGCTATCCACTCAGCCACCGTGCCGCCCTGTATGAATACCTGTGCAGGCCCAACTAAGCAATTACAAAATCATGTATCATTTTACTTTCACTTGTACTTTCAACAGTTGTCTGTTACTTAACAGTAAAAAATCTTTATGGTTGTAAACTTGACAAAAAGTTCTAAACTTAATAATACTTTGGCGAGACATATACATACATAAACAAACCCAATATCTTTGTATTTATTTGGTTAGTCCAGTTGGGCTCATTTGGTCCCACACTCCATTCACCCTGAATTATTGTACATGTTTTAATAGTGGGGAAAACCTACGCAGACACAGGGAGAACATGCAAACTCCACACAGAAAGGCCTGGAATCAAACCCAGGACCTTCTTGTTGTGAAGCAAAATGGAGTAGGGAGAAAACAAATGTAGGATTTAGACAAATTAAATGCTCCTGTCTCAAACGTTTTATTATTTTTTGGGCCTGTGGCTTTTATCACAGCAGGTAAAGCACAATGGTGGTAGAAAGATTATGGGCAATATTTCTTGTGGTGATTCAGGTCAGTTTATCTGCATGTCAAATACTTTGTATTGTTTGTGTTGTATATTTTATTTTAAGTTAAGTGAAATACCAGAATATGACTCATTTCTGGTGTAATCCCAGTTTCTCTGCTGCAGCTCTTTAACAGTGTGTCGTATGACTCCCACTCAGGTGATTAATAATTATTTCTCATGAACAGACAGTTCTGAATAAAACACATTGTGTGGCCACCACTTACAATTGTTTAATATTTTCTTTTAAACCAGATGGAGATGTGGAAAGTTTAGATTTTGGTAATAAAGGAAATAATGTTAGTGTGGTTTAAAAAGTCTGAAAAATATGTCATGAGTATTAATGCTAATATCTTTTTCTCACTCGTCACAGACGCTTATCTCTGCCTGAGCTCAGGTCCTGGGAGCTTGAGGGTTCTGCACAGTATCTTTGCGCTTCTGAGCAATGCACATTTTTGGTTTTCAAAGGTTGTTGGTATGTGCTATAACCACTCCTCGGGCGCTCCTCTCCCAGTTTTCTCTAAGCCTTTGGTTTTTCTCGTGCTTTTTGAGGTCTTGTTTCCTAATTACCATCGCTTTGAATGCCACATCCACCACCACAACTTTCCTCTGCCCTTTGTCCACCACCACAATGTCTGGTTTGCCGTTAATTGCCATTTGGTCATTCTGTATCCGGAAATCCCACAGGATATTCACAATATTGTATTTATAATAATACACTCCCACATATATATAAACATACATACACATAATTAGTGTTGGGGTAAAAATGTTTTCTGTTCAGTGTTGGAATCACCAGGCTTGTTAAAAGCATCTTATAGCATCAACTTCAAGTCTATTTGTGACAAAATAATCACATTATTAAAAACTCAAAAAAGAGCATTTTGAGCAACAGGTTCTTTAAAACCAGGACACCTGGAGTGGGGTTGACAGCTGATTTAGGAAGACTTTCCCCCAGTCCAGTCTGAGCGCCTTGTATTTGACAGAGAGGCTGTAAACTATCGAGCATTGCGAAGATGATCAGAATTTACAGCGACACACGAAGGCCTGGGGCAGTGGGCCTCTCCGTGACCTTGTGCTACGTCCAATGACACATGACGGCTCTGGGAAATTTTATTGTGTCCGATACGGGGAAGCGGAGGAAACAAACAGCCCCATTCCCCATTGGACGGGCTATAGCATGTCAGTCATAACACATGGACGATATGAAGGCCACACTGGAGGATCCAAGACAGAGATCATCACAAGGGAATGGATGCTCCAAAAACAAAAGCGCAGTGTGAGATTCTTAAACTATTAAAGCTGGGGTACCTAGCTTTTAACAAAACATTTTACCCGAGTGTTTTGTAAACAGTTATGGATCTTACATTCAAGGGGTAAGATCCATAACAGTTCAAGGGGTGGAGAGTACAAGCTGTGGGCACTTTTAACATTAACACATGTAAAACATAATCGTGTTTGTGAACATGACCTGTTCTTACATGTCCTCACACTTTAGGAACATTATACAGCCCCTTAAAACTGTTTATTTAAAAGGGACCATATTTACCGTTTTCATTTAAGCCCTTTTCTCGACAACAGTTCAAGCTCAAAGTATTTTTAATTAAAAATACAATGAACATGAGGGCCATAATACTGTATTGATGTAAACTGTTTTCAAGTACATTATTATCCAATCAGAGAGCAGAATCACTAAAAACATGTACAATAGATCTGGCATGCGTCTCCTGTACGACGACCCTTCTTCCATCATTGTGTGGAGTGAGAAAGAAATGCCCACAACAATTGTAAAGCGTTTTGTGACGCTAAATAAAACAAAGAT